GTTTATTTAAATAAAGATTATAAATTTAGCTTTTTTCAAAATAATTTGAAAATATCTAATAAATCATATAATTATTGCATTTAAATATATTTTCTATTATTCATATTTTTTTATTTAATTTATTTCAAATTAATTCAAAATACCCTGAAATTGTTCGAATATTATTTAATAAATTCAAATTGATTAGCTTTTCTTACTCATTAGTAGCTATCTTTTAGTTTATAAATATTTTGCTGTTTTGATACATTTACGTCTATTTGAATTGTTTTGAATTAATTCAAATTATTGCGCAATATATAACATAATATTGCACTATAAGTTTCGTAATTTTGCATAATATATTTCATAATATTTCATTATATATTGTGTAATATTTCACAATTTATTGTACAATATTATGTCTAGATCATAATTATTACACAATATTTTGGAGCATAATAACTTACGTAAGATTACGTTAATTTATTTCGCTAATGATAATTTGAAGTAGTTTGGTTTGTTTGGATAAAGACTCACCTAACCAAATAAATATATCTGAAGTAGGTATAAATAAACTGAAAAATGATGTTTCTTTGCCCTCAGATGATAATAATAATAATAATAATAAAGTTATAGTTGATGATGAGAAAAATACAGATGATGATAAGTAAAGTTTTATTTTTTTGCTTTGTTTTTTTATTTATTTGAATAATATTACATTTTTTGTCTTTTATTTTTTATATATTTCTTTTAGATTTTCTATAATTTAGCTTTTTTTTTATATAATTAAATAAATAATAAAATTATTAATAAAATATATTTAAGTTATAAAATTTATATTTTGTTTATTTAAATAAAGATTATAAATTTAGTTTGTTTCGAAATAATTCAAAAATATCTAATAAATCATATAATTTTGAATTAATTTGAAATATCTTGAAATATTTCAAATAGTATTTGATAAATTCGAATTGATTAGCTTTTCTTTTTCATTAGTAGCTATCTTTTAGTTTATAAATTTTTGCTGTTTTGATGCATTTACATCTATTTAGAATTGTTTTGAATTAATTCAAAATATTGCACAATATATAATATAAGGCCATATAAAAAAATTTTTTTGGTTTTCATAACAGAGAAAAAAAATTTTAACCCGGTACCCGGGTTTTTTTTTATATATATAAATTTTTTTATATCTAATATGCATATTCAAAACAAGAAAAATACATGTTTAACATAAATTTGATAATAAAAAATGCTTGCATTTGCCATAACAAAGCTCCAGTTAGTATTACTGCTACGGCTGCTATAGCTGCTACGGTTACTATAACAGTATATAATAAAGTTTTGATACAATCGTATAAAAATTTTATCAGTTTTTAACCTTTGAATCTTTAAAAATATGCCAATGTGATTAACCCGAACCTGCACTAGCAAACTAATTGTACAATCCAAATACAGAAAATAGAACTTCGAATCTAAACTATATAATAAAGTGTGTTAAATCTGACTTTATATAATTATTATTGCTCAATCAGATGACTTTATTGAAAACAAATGAACATATAGGAATTTTGCTCGTAGACTTTACATTTACAATAAAATACATTCAAACACTAAAATAATTGATCTAAATCCAACGAACTAATACATTCACAACTTTAAAGTTGCCATCGTATTAATCGATATGCCATGATCCTCCTACTGATAACAAAAATATCTAAAAATCCTAATTATACTACAAAAAATAATCTGTAATATGCAAGTGGAAAAGGCTTTAAGAAGAGATCCCATAGCAACAATAGAATCATGATATAGCGGAAGTCATTCGTTTAAAAAGGAAGATTGTGCCCTATGTTATTGCCTCTGCAGAGCTTAATTATCACTAAGTCAAAGGTTCTAGCACTGCCAACGTAGCCATGGAGCCTACTTACTACTACAAGTCCTTGTTTGCTACAGCAACCACTAAGCTTCACACTACTCACTAGCGCCCCTTAACTTATCAAACCAGAGCCATAGTACTCTTTATAATCACCAGGTCACTGCACAAGAGGCGAAGACAGAGCTAGCCTTCATTACAAAGCAAGCGATAGTGAAAGAAAGATAAACTTCCCATATAACCCAACAAACCTCAAATACTGTATCTCTATTATAGTTGCTGATGAAACTGATGACAATCTAAATCTGATTGCCTATTTACTATATTAGCCAATCAGATTATAGATAGTCAACAGTTTCACCAGCAACTCTAATCTTCAACTAATCAAAACAATTACCCTTACTTCTCAATAATCGGTTCTAAACTCGCCAAAACAATAAATCATATGCAATCAACAACAATAACTGGAATTTACCTACATTCAATGGGGAGCTCAAGAATTTATTACTAGCAGCTAAACAACGGATTACACATATGATCCCATAAAGCTACAACAATGATCGCCCCATCATCTCGTGTTGGGCTTTCAGTTAACTGCAGTCGGGCATATTACCAAAATTGGAAATCAGATCTAGAATACTCTATTGAAAATCCCTAAAATTTAATTGGCTTATATTGGCTCATATCGGTTATCTTCAGATGCGAATTGAGACTTGGTGTAATATTCGTTTGCAGTTTTTAACTATACGAACTAATAGTAAAAAGACTCTAGTTTTAAGATCACCTGTGATCATTTCGAGATCAACATTTTTTGAAAAAATAGGTCAGCGCTAAAATTTAAAAAAATTGTGCTTTTAACTTAATAATTAAGCTTTTTTTTTTTAATTATGTCGCATCTATCGCCAGCTCAACAAAAGCCAAAGCCCGAAGCTCTTTCTTGCATATTCTCTAAAATAGTTACTAAGTACAATAAGGAAATCGGATTAAGTCTCTGCGAAATGAAGAAAAAGCAAACTTGGCGAAATGCTAGTGCTCCAGAAGCAATTAGACAACTTGAACTATTTACTGATTTCATACCGGAACTAACTGATTTACTTTTAGAATCTTATCGTTATTCTATTTGCCAACAGCATTATAATGAAGTTGTATTTAAAGATCAATTTTATCAACGGCTTTGTCATGAAAATAAAAGACCTCAGATTGGTACTGATTCTACCTCTTCAGAGATAATCGACAGTGGTTCAACGGTCAAGTTTGGAAAAATGAAAGAATTAGGTGGAGGTGAAACGGCAAATCAAAAAAAAGATGAGTATATAATGCTTCTTACTAACACAATTTCAGAGTTACAGCAGAAAATAGAAGAACAAAAACGGGAAATATCAGAATTAAAGAATCAGATAAGTGGATATTGTGAAGAAATAATCAGAATAAATAATTTATACCAAGAAAAACGTGAAAAAAATAAGGATCTCGTTGAACAATGGAATTCTCAGCATTGCAATCAAGAAAAGCGTATACAGGAAGCTGTTAATATTGTGCTACTTGAGCGAGAATCTTTATTTGAGGATGTTGACTTTTTAATTAAGAACAAGAATAGGTTTTCTTTAGAAAACCTATTAAATTATACGCCACAAACTTGGCTAAGCCAACATAATCAGGTAATTGTAAGGTTTATTGAAGTATTAATTTATAATGAGAATAATCTTGATTTAGGTTCAATAAATGCCGAGAAAATTTTCAAAAGAACAATGGCCGTCGACTTAATATATGGATCAAGGCACGGAAAATATGCATCAGAAATAAACCTCGCTGCATCGGCCATAAAATATTCTATTGCGAGATCGAAAACAATCATCAATATTGATAATCATATTACTAATTCGGGAAGTTATTCTTATTTTCAAAGATGGTTAGACAAATTATTTAAAGAAGAAGAAGCTTTACCTATGGGACTTTTATTTATGGCATTTGATAATGAGCAAAAAGGGCAGCGAAACTATCTTGATCGAGGATCAAATATAGTGACATATAATACCGTCACTAGCTTTGTTGCCTTTAATGTAAAATCACAAAATTATATTCAGCATACTAATATGCCTTGGTTATCTAATTTTGATATTAGGTCACAGTATGAAAATCTTTTTACGATTACGTCCGAAATGCAAGAAATAATAGATAGCGAATTACATAATTACCTTTCTGAAGTTATAAGTCTATTAATTGAAGAAAAGTCATCTACAATTAATAGTATTGATTCTCTTGTTGCAAATACTGGGTCGGGCGATCATTGTAACAAACACTGCCTTGTCTGTGATGAAAAAAATATTGATAATAGAAAGCAGGTCTGTAGTGATAAATCGATTAATCGTTTAGTTGACTGAGTTGACAACTAATCGATTAACAATTTTGACCCAACTATTAATCGATTAACCAACTAATCGATTTAATCGAATAACTATTAATTGATTAATCGATTAATTGATTAGTTGCTTTTACATTAATTAGCTTTTTAATAAAATTTTTATTCATTATTAGTTAAATTAGGTTAACTAAGCAACTAATCTGTTAATCGATTAATCAATTGATCGATTAATCGATTAGTTAGCAATAATCGACTTGTAATCGATTTTTTAAAAAATTTCAACTAACTAATCGATTACATTTTTTGCTCTGATTCATAACACTACAGGTCTGTCCAAAATGTACCGCACGCCTCCCTACGTTAGCTGAATTGCGACAACAAGCTCCTGAGTTAGAACAAGACGAAGATAATAAGGACCGGCCAATTACTTTTAAACCCTACAATATTGAAAAGGAATCTAGCGCGTCTACTGTTCCAAGAATAAGTATAACCCAAAAACTATCACCCGATAAAGGAGTTAAAATTCCAGAAATTTTCGTGCCCGATCCTCTCGATACTAATCCTAACACAATTTCTAATGTTGAAGAAATTCTTCGTCATATAGAAAAAATTTCTGGAGTCAAGGACGAAATTCAAAAATGGGTAGTCGTTACATGTGACGGTGTTCCATATCATTATGCAACTAAAATAAAGCATAAGTTTCCATAGCTAGTCCTCATTCCTGGACCATTACATGAAGAGATGAATATGCTTCGAGCATACGTAGAACTAAATTGGTAAGCCTGTGTTATTTCAATTAGTACTAGTATGGGCGAAAATGTTCAATATTTATGTTTTATATTATATTATTGGTTCGGTAGATGATTTACAATATTTTGCAGTTTTTTATTCTTATAGTTAATGATCACGATCAAAATTAAAAAATTCAACACTTCGAATTTTTTAATTTTAACTTGTAGAATACGGCATTCCAATTGAACATTTTCGTTCAATCAAAAATCAATAAGATCGATTTTATCGAATATCAACAAGACCATTAATTCAAATATCATATTTTTACATTTATACTAATATTTTATTTTAAAAGGAACATTGATCTCAAAGAATTCGCGAAATGCCAGGGATACAAATCGGAAAATCAACTTGCTTACTTTAAAAAGTGCCACGACTATCATAAGGCTTGGGATTCTGTGTGTAATTTCTATCGCCAAGCAATAACCATGGAGTTGGTTTGGCCATATGTTAAAAACAATTTTAACCCGTCGGTAAAGGGATACTTGGCCTGGGCAAAAGAACAAAAAGATTCTCTTTATCAAATAAAATTTGAACAGGTGTAATCTCGTAATTTTTATAGTTCGTATTTCTCAAAATAATTTCTAAATTAATTTATTATTATAGGTTTTTTATTATTTGCAAGCTATTATTAACTATAGAATGGCCGTAAGAAGAAATATTCCATTGTTGAAAAGAGCTGCAAGAAAAGTTTTTTCACCCATATGGTCAGCACAACGCTACCCAATATATCGTTTGATAGAAGCCTCAGATGAAATACAATTGATGCAGCTTGATCCGTCCATAAGAGATATTATAGAAAATAATTGTGCTATTTCTAGGTCGGGGCTTATTAATCAACATCAGGGATTGGATGCTATTTTAGAAGAAGTCAATAAGACCTTAAAAATGCTGATACCACCTACTCCACAACTACGTCATTGGGAAATCGCCGCAAGAAACTGCAAAAAATTCCTCCAGATAAATACTTCATTTACTCAAATATCAAGTATTAAATTAACTAACTTTTGATAATAAAAATCTAGTTACGAAATAATTTCTTCAGATTGATCGGACATAGTGATCCTCAGGCGAATAGTCCAAGAACCCGGCCAGAACCAACAACCGAATGCCAAAGATTCCGAGTTCGTTTAAGAAAATATAATTTTGTTAATCCAACAGATTCGAGAGCTACTTGTAAAAGCTTGGGAGAGGAAAATGAATTAAGCACGGAATTATCAAATTTTGCAAGTTTAGCAAAAAAAGCTCGAAGAGAATATATTACTAATGTTTTTGTTAACAATAATCCTGCACCTTTATTTAGGCCGATTCCGATTACGAAAGAAGAAGCGGATGTACAGAAAAATGAAGTTAATATAAAAAAAGAAGAAATTATCTTCAAGATTGAAGCCCTTTTAGAATGTTTGGATGAAAGTGTTCGGAAAAAATATAGAGGATTAAAATCCAAGAGGCGTGATGAATTATTGACTATATTGGTAGAGGTAAGGTCTTTACTTGATTCAGATTCTGAATATAATAACAACTGTGATTAACACAATTAGACAAAAGGTTGGGTTCGAATTTGAATCAATTATAGGAAAGCGCTTTTGCCTTTTATTTCTGTATTTTGTGATTACAATTTTATATTATATGATAATTATACATAACGTTTTTTCATACTTATAATTTTTAATATATCTAATTCGGGAATTACTCAGGCCTTAAAGAAAATTTATTTATATAATATTTAAGATAGTTGATTTAAAAAATAAAAAAAATACTGTATTAAAAATTTTATTTTTAATAATAAATAAGATTTAATACTGTAATAAGAATATTATAGTAATTCTAAATCTATACATTGAGGGGTTTCGAGTATATATTAAAGTAGTATGGTACGTACGAAAGCGCAAGTTTAGGACGGACATATAGAACCATGATAGTACGTACGGTTTGTAAAAGAAAAATTTTCAAACAAGATACTTTTTCTACTACTGTACTAGCCTTAATCACAACTATTAAAAGGGGTACTTCTAAAAATTGAATTTTGCAAGTCTATATTTGTTAAACATTACTTTCCCGATACTCCAAAAAGGTCTTATTAGCTGGGTTTTGTAAGGTATCATGTTTCATAAAAATCTTCAATAGGATAACGCTTATCTAACTGAATATTCAACTCTTCGATAACTCCAACTTTAATTAATTTAAAGGGATTAAGAGCCCAAAACTGAGTTTGTGTTAACTAGATGTTTTATAAAAAAGCGATCATAATCCATTATAAGTCTTTCATTTTTTTGGTCATTCACATAGCTACTATCTAACAATTTTCTGAGACTTCCCTGCTTTGCATACTCCATAACCATCATGTAGTTACCATCTTTTGGGTTCTTGGTTATTCCATAAATTGCAATTGCCGAGTTGCCCCCATGTTTGTGTTGATTTTCAACCTAAAATATTAATTATAAATAAGTTTTCTACACTTAATAATCATAAATTAAGATTCATATGTACTTCTTCTAAAAATTCTCGTTTTATATCTTTAGAATTATCAAGACTTTTTAAACAAACATCTTCTCATGAACTTCTCTTCCATTCATTATTTCAGAGTCCCGTAATATAACCGTCAATCCATACTGTCTTAAAAACGGTGCCAAATCCTCCTTTAGCAAGATACTTTATATTTGTGAATTTGTTAAAGGGTATCTATTCAATAATGTCTTTAAACTTCACTGCATTAAGTTGTGTTTGTTGAATTAATTGATCAATGTTTTGATTGTCACTTGTCCAATTACGAAATTCTTCTTTAAACCTTAATTTGAGTGATGGGACCTCTGAGTTTTTAGTTAATAATGAAAAAAATCAATAAAGCGTTATTAATACTAATAATATCGATATGATGAATTAAATAAATTACTGACGAATTTAATAAAAGTTTGGTCCGCCAATACAGCAATATCTCAGCAATTTTTGAGAAAATCTTGACGCAAATTTTCGTTTTTTATACATCCTGTACTAATTAGCTACGCCATATATTATTAAGTCGTTATAATCATTATTAATTATTAATAATTTAGGACTACACATAGCGTTCCCAAGCGTCTCAATCCATGGGTCAAAAAATTAATTATTTTTAGTAGAAAATAATTTGGAGTTTTTTAAAAAAATGAATGACTAAAAAGCATTAGAAACCGTTAATAAAAAAATTCTTAACCGTACATACGTACGTACGTTAGGGATCTTCTATTTTAGCCAATCAGAATTCATGTTAGCATTTATCGAGAAATTTCTGGAATCAAACTGATCGTCACTTCTATACTATATTAGGTGTGATCTTCATTGTCCGTTTTTGGTAATGTGCCCGACTGTAATATAATTTTGTGTATTTTAATATTTTCCATAATTTTATTAATAAGCTTATGGAAAATATTAAAATCCACAAATTTGTATTAATTTAATCTACTTTAATTCTCTAAGTAAACTAGTTCTATGCATAAAATTACATTATATTAGCATACGTTTACTTTATAATTTTAAATTTTAAGAGAAAAGATGCTTAATTTTGAAATTTTGATCAAAATTTCAAAATTAAGCATCTTTTCTCTTAA